ATAAATATTTTCTATTCTATTGATAAGAATTTTGATAAAACACTTTTTTGGGATCTCTAGTAAAACAATAAATCTAGTATTTGAGAGTTCACAACCTAAAAGTTTAGGTTTAGATATAGGATATATATGACTCTATTTTTAATGTTTCAGAGTGACTTTCTATCTTAAGAAGTTATTTAATATTCTTTTCAAGAAATCTTTTCCTTCTTGGCTTAATATTTTGACATTTTATAACTGGTTTGGGATTTTTCCAAAACTTTGTTGTTAAAAAGTATCCTCAGTGTTTCACTAAGTTCTTCTTGTGAAATTGATTCAAGTAGTTTATTGTACTAAGCTATTTGAACATATTCTATTTATTTGTACTCTTTTTTCATTTTTCTAGTAAATTATTATAGCTAGTTTTTTTTTTCTAAAGGTTTCATGATAATATCATTTTATTTTCTTTTCTATTTCATCTTTTTGTATTGTAATATATTTATTATTGCCCTGCTTAATCTTAATCCTATCTAATACTATTTTACTTATTGTTCAATTAATAAAGAGCTGACCATCCATCTATAATTGTTTTTCTAATTATTACATCTCTATTCTAAAGTAGTTTTAATACCATCTCTTGTTTTTTTGATTTTCAATCTTTAATATATGAATTTGGGACCTTCTATAGTATCTTGAATATCTTTTTTCAAGGATTTTATGGTCTATTAGAAATGCTATATTAGGTACAATAGTTCTTAATCTGATGATTTGTACTATGGGTATTATTATATTTTTCTATAGCTAATCTAAGGATCTATAGCTTATCTATTTCTTTTATATCTCTACTTTATTGTAACATTCTTTAAGTTGTAAAGCTTTTCTATAGCTGATAAATTTGACACTATGTTTGTAATGTATTTTTTATAACTAGATTGTTTTCTTTATTACCAGTTTGTTAAAGGCTATTTTACATAACAGATTCTCAAAAGATTTACACAGCTTGTTTTCCTGATCCTTCTTTTTATCTTAATTGGATTTTTCTTAAAACAAAGGTTCTAATAACATTTTAAATTTATGGTCTACTCTTTCACAAAAGACTTGTCATTGTAATAGAGATATTTTCTTTGTATCAATCTTCCTTGATATATTTGTAATTAACTTTGTGATTCTATTTCTTGTAAAAAGATTTTTATTATATAATATTATTAGAAGCATGGTGTGATTACCACCTATAATGTTTTCTATATTTTAATTATTGGATCAGAGTAATAGACAATTTGTTAGAAAATAAGAAATTCAAATATAATCTATTTTAATACTACTTATTAGGTTTCTTCTTATTGGAGTTTTTTCTTTACCTACCTATATAGCTTGTATATCTATAAAGTCATATTCATCAAAAAAGTTGAATAATGAGATTTTAGATTGCTATAATGATCTGAAGCTTGCTTTAAAAGAAACTTTTTATCCACTGATAGGTTATGAACTATATTAAAAGTTTCTATTACTATTGGTAAAAGTCTTGTCCATATTTTCTTTTAATAAGGTTGGTTATCTTATTCTGTACTATTTTACATCTTATTTTATTAAAAGGAATATAGATCTGTATAATACAGATCTCTTTCTTTTTATATGCATATTAGTGACAATAATATGTTTTTTTTTTCTATGATATAATCTTTTTTTTTCAAATCTTTTTTGATTAAAAAACTAACTTCTGTCTTAAATAATATGTCTTTATTTATACTATGAAAGTGTTTGTAATTTGTTCTAGTATTTCTTCAATCAGGTTTTATTATTTTGTTTATCTATAATCCCTCTGACATTATGTATACCAATTCTGATTATCTTTTTATTTATATTATCTTCTTCAGTTTTCTTAAATAGTCTATATCTATTATTATTATTTAGGAAGTTTCTGCTTATCTTGTAATAATATTATGATATCTAGATTATCCATTTTTTCTATCCCATTATTGCTTATTAGAGTTTATTTATTGCCCATATTTATGTTTTTATAGAAAGGCAGTGAACTTTTGCTCCTCTTAATTGCTATCAAGGACTGGTACATTTTTAGGAACAGTTTGTTCCCCTATTACTAAGTCTTGATCTTATTAAGACTGTTTTTCCTCTAAAGAGTCTATTCTAGCATTTCATTTTTTTAAATTAGTTAAAATACTCTTTAAAGAATCTTGAGTGCTTTCTATTTTGGGTCTCACCTTATTTTCAAAGAAAATAAGTTTATTGCTTTTTTTTTTTAACTCATAGTCAGGTCAGTATAGAGTATCTTTATTGTATATATGTTAGGTATTTACAAATTATTGTGACTTTTACATACTGACTCACTTGTCTAATTCCACTAATTAATAAAATCATTGCCTACTGATTATTACTGTAGAAAAAAATATGTTTATTGCTTCACTGATTTCTAATTGTTTCTCTATTACTTCCTGTTATAAGGTATTCTTCTTTTTTGTTTTTTTTTCATTCTATTCTATTATTACTTCTTTATCTGATTTGCCTCTAGTTTTTAAGCCATGATAACTTGATGAAATAAAAATAGAATCTGTTAATTTATTATCTGATTGTGAGTCAAATATTAATTCATTATTTACTTCTATGCTTCTAAACTTTAATTTTATACTTCTATTTTTATCTTTAAGATTTTGTCTTTTTGGTTTGGATATATGTTTGATATTTAACAAGAAACAATTTTCCTACAAGAAAATATGTTGTTTGTATGTCTTATCTTTTTCTTCTTTTATTTTGAAACAAACTACTGTAATATTATACTTTTTGAGTATATAAAGATCTTTGGGTGAATAGCATGCCTTAGTTTGGATATCATTCAATGTTCAGTCTATTAGACTAGTATAGGTTTTATAAGTACCCAGAATTCTTGCTGAATTATTATTTCTATCAATTAGTATCTGGTTGATTTTATTGTTGCTAAGCTTAAATTTAGAGAATATAACTCTTGACATTTCTGTATTGATCAGAGTCATTCAGATTGTTTCAGGATTTAAGTTGAGATATTTATGCTATTTGATATAAACTTTTATCCATGATTTTGTGTTACCTCATAGATATGAATATTTTGGACTTCTCCATATTTTTTAGATATGCCTTTATAAGATTCTTATTGACTTTTTGATTCCCATTTATCAAGCTTATATGCCATATATCAATATCCTCTTTGATTTTAAATTTTTGAAAGACTTTTCTATCTAAGTTTTTTTCTGTTTTTTGTTCTTGTGGGTAACCAGAGGTGTTATATGTTGAATAGCAAAGTTGTCTTCTTTTCAGTTAGTAAGGTTTATTTGAATATCTCTGAATCTCATATAAAGAGAACAGATATTTTTAAACTTAAAGCACTTTCATTAAATTTTCTATGAAACATCTTCAAAATTTCTGATGATAATAAAAATTGCAAAACTTAAACTGTGCAAACTCGGTGATAAAAAATAATGATCTTTTGGTCTCAAGAATTAACCATACTAAGTTGTGAACATATCCTACATCATACATAACTCTAAAAATATATTATATGCATAGAAATATGATTTCTCACATGTCCAACCTGCCTCACAACCATTGAAATTATTAGAAAAAAGCTTGTACTCATTTCTGATGAATATGATATAGTGCTCAAAAATCATGATCTCGGAAAAAAAAAGCATCCAGCGAAGTAATATTACTATCGAATATGAAGAGAATAAATTAGAAGTTTTGGGTATACTAGGATTAGTAGATGAGATTTTCTTACAGATCAAGGGAAGCAAATGGATAAAGCTTCAACAAAAGATCAAGCAACCAGTCTCATTCCTGATAATTCTACCTGTAATCATGTTACAAGCTCCATTGTGATTGTACTGTATTTAGTTCCACGAAAACTGAGCTAAAGAAAAATTTGGCTATGTCACTTTCCCTAATGGGAGTAGTACCAATATACAGTATATGTTGCGCAAGATTCTACAAAGCGGTTAAAAATCTCTAGCCACTCTTTTATAACTTCCAGCGATTCTAAGGATCACAAAAACCCATTCATCAAGACAGTTATCTTCAAAAATTGATCGTGAGCAAGATGTATTGCAAGGTTTTCTGAAAGAATCATCCACTCCTATCAAGAGGAAACCTGACGAAAATAAGCATGCGACAGGGGGGATGTTGATGCGTCAACATCACAAAGTTTATTTCGGTTATATCAAAAAGCGAGTCATGCGGAAATGTGTGTAATAAAGGCTAATCAAGAAGAAATTTTATGTTGTATCATTATGCAGAAGGATTTGAAAATAGGGTTATAGAGATTAGATCTTAAGATAGGGCACTGATCCAACAGCTAGGAGTCGAGTATATTATGAAGTCACTCAGCATCTTCCAAGTGTTATGGAGATAAATTTGCATAAGAAAACTCAGAAAGCGAGAAATATATACAGTATATACGTAGACTGTCTGTGAAAATATGGATAAAAAAAAATCGATTGGGTTAAATCATATAGTGCGGGTGCTATTTCAAATCTGACTGGCACACAAATCCAAGATCGTTTCTTCGCATCCTGGGAGCGATGTCATGTGATTTAAATCCGCGAATCGAGATCAGCATAGAAGTACAGTATTTCGGAGAAATGACATAGTCTCGTGGAATATATTTACAAAAAATCTTCATTTAACCAGCGATCATCTGATATATTTCATTTTAAAACTGCTAGGGTTTAAAAGAAAAAAAAAAAAAAGATAACTTACGAATTTTTTGAACATGATGTGTTTGCCAATCCGTTTAAGATACTCACGGAATCATAATAAAGGGGTAAATGTTTGAAAAATTGATGTTTGTTATTTCTTCTGCTGTCATATTGTTTTCCCGAAACAATGATTTTTGCTAATCGAATCTCCCACCCTCCCATTTTACTTCAATTTCATCACCTAATATGATGCTCCTCTTTTGCTACCGACTTTCATCTGCACGTGTACTCCCCATAACATGCAATTGAGTTAGACACGGCTGCTTACTCTTCACAACATGTTTATTTGTACAGAGAATACAACTCGTTCCCATTATCATTTCCTATTCGTTTTTTTTTTTTTTTTTTTGTAAAAAAAATTATTTATCATACTGTACAGCAGTTGCTATAATTGGTTACTGTGATGCACGTTTATAAATCGTGCGTTTTGTTATCTGATTACGGGATCGGCGTTCGAAATTATCAAAACCCAACATCGCGTGTTAGAGTGTCGATAAATAATATTCTTAACATTATTTAAATGCTCGAACTAAAAAAAATAATATTATATAAAGAGTACAAACGTTTTTACTTTCCCTCTTTAAAATTTGTTTTTTAATTTCAATCATTAAATTAAAATGCACCCAAATTTATTTGTTCCTTTCGTCATTCTTCTAGGCTCTGTTGGCAGTAAAGTTTTTTCGAGTCATTTTATAATCTCCTTTTATTATTTATGGTTTAATTATTTAATTTATAGTCTTATCGCGTGGACATGGAGGTCACCCCCCACATCGCGAACCACCACATCGCGAACCACCACATCGCGAACCACCACACCGCGAACTACCGCATCGCAAACCACCAAATCGCGATCCACGACATCGCGATCCGCCATTTCCCGATTGTCCGAATGGACATATCTTATGTGGAGAAGTATGTGTGAGTATATTTATTTATTTATTTATGCTGTTTTATTTTCTTTAAAATCTATACTCTTTCTAAATTTTCATCACTTTTGCAGTGTGGTGATTAGCAAACTTGTAAAAATGGAATTTGCATCTTTCTCGACAGAAAAATACTTTGTTACACTACATGCGTTGACACCAATTCTGATAATAATAATTGCGGAGCTTGCGATGTCACTGTGGGTATTTGCGCTTTTAATCTTTTTGATAAATTTCTCTCTTTTAAAATTATTTTCATCACTTTTGTAGTGCGATGGTGAGCAAACCTGTCAAAACGGAAAATGTGCATAATATCCAAAAATATGAATACCAAAATTATTACAATTATTACTTTTAAATAACCTATTAATTATTGATTGCATAATCAAGGGTTAAATAGAAACATTAGATATAATATTTACAAAATCAATGACAATATAATATTTTAATGTATTATTTAATCACTCTACTTAATGCAAAATGAAATATTTTCGCAAAACTAATATTATGCTGTCTATAATTTAATGCTCTATTTTATAAAAATTAACCAACTGTACTTCCTAATAACAATAAGCAATATCTTATCACATAATTATAATACCCTTAAAATACAAAAAAATAAAATCACTTAAATTTTGTTCTTAAAAACCATTCCAAAATTGTGATGACATTTGCCGCAGCAGTTGAAATGATCCACTTGTTTTTATAAATTGCATAGTTGTTTAAATAATAACTTTTTTTTGCAATGTCCTGTTTAAAAACCTTTTTTAATATTATTTCCAGGAAATTGAATTAACTCTTTCATCTCTTTTTTTGCGAGTTCGGCCAATAATTTAACCATTGGTGGTTCTCTCAAGAGCTTTAATGTATTTAATATTGCGTCTACCGATGTTTCTGGATCGTCGTTTGATACACAATACGTACAAATATTTATGCATAAAAGAATATTGAATATTGGTTTTTTTTAAAAGCAAGCTTCTTTAAAATTGATTTTTAAAAGAAAAGCGTCACACAGCAATTGTGTTTCTCTTGGCGACAGAAAAATTCTTCTTTCCAGGTGCCTTCATCCTAGAAGGGATTATAAGAAACAATCCACTTATTTTCCTCTTTACCCTCTTGCTTCTCATTTTAACTGCCAAATTCAAATATATTTTATGCCATCCTCAATAAAACCTTTTTCATTTAATTCTTCGAATGCTTAAAATTTTTCAGGACTTAGTTGTGCAGAAATTTTCTCTAGCAGAAATTCGGACCGCCTGAACCATCGCCTTATAATATTCTCGTGCAATTCAACCAAGTAATCCAAGACGTTGTTTTGTTTTCAACTAAAATTGAAAGATATATAATGCATTCCCTAAAATAAAACGGATTACTTAAGAGTTCTTATAGGTTAGGAATTCGTTCGATAGCTTCCAGATAATGATTAAAATCCCAATCCCAAGCTCGTTATTCTGGGCTAACACTTCCAACATATTTCTCAATATGGATTTGGATTTGGTCCATTTAAAGGGTGCCAACACTAATTCTTGAAGTCCCGTGACCGTTAGCGCTGGTCTATCTTTATTATTTGAGTCTTCTAAAAACTTTTTTACCATAGAGGTCAATTTATGTTTCTTTGTAAATATAAAGCTATTAAATATTCTGTTTCGAGTTTCCTTAAATTCTGAGTCACATCAAAATTTTCGTTAGAAAGGGTTGTTATGATACTGTTGCAGGCAGTTCAGCTTGAGGGTACCAACTATACGGACTCAATAAATAGTACAGTCTGGTCCAAAAAAAACCGGAATTTGTTTTTTTTTTTATTACACAATAATGGTCATATAGAATTATATGAACTTTTATTTATATATAGTTTAATAAATATATTTTTAAAAAATAAAGTTTAATATGAGATATGCTTCTTCTTATTTTCAATAATTAGTTTACAATATCTTTTTATTGATTAAATCAATTCTATTAGAACAAATTTTGATATTTTTTTATATTCTTCACCCATATACTATTTCAACTTATTTTGATTTTTTGACATATGTTTCTCCATGTTACCCTTGACGATACTCCATAGGTTTTCTATAGGATTCAAATTGGAACTATTTGATAGTTAATCAATAATATCTGATATATTTTTATTAATAAAAGCTTTTGCTAAACAACTCGTATACTTCAGATCATTATCTTACTGAAAGCACTACTCATTATCAAGTACCTTTTTAATCTTTGAAATATGTTTCCAAATAATTTTCACATAAAAACTAACATTTATAATCTATTGAAAAAAAAATAAAATTGCTTTTTCCCTAATATAAAACTCTTTTCAAGCTAAAATCTTAATTTGACTTTTCAGTATATAATGAATTGATCATGTGCTCTTGTCGACAGTGAATTATCCCTATAAATATACTAACCAAGTGTTTGTAAAGAAGCTTCGTCAATCTTTTTTGACCAGCTATTTCCATTTGAATGCTCATTAGAACTGACTTTTTTAAGCTTTTTTTAATTTTAATAGATAGTTAAAAGAGAAAACTTTGCAAGTGTATACATATTTTTTGTATCCTATATACTATCATCCCACAATTATAATAGAATCTTATATTGATATTTTTTTCTTTTGACTGACATTCAATATCCCTTTTCTGCAAAACTAACTAAAGATTGAGAAAATATCAACTGGTAATATAATATACAATTCTTAATTTTCTTTTTTTATAAAAAAAATTTTTAATTGAATATTAACTGCATGACTTACAGAGATTTTCTAAAAAAAAAAAAATTTTCAGTTTTTTTTGGACCAGACTATAAATAAATTAGTAAATATAAAAAACTATATATTGTATATACTGTATAAGTTTACTTGTTTTAGATTTTCTCCTAAGATATTTAAAGCTTTTTGTATACTTAAATTAATAATATCATGAAATATTATAAATGGTTTTTTATTATACTAAAAGATATTGCTTAAGTTTTACTCTACTCTTCTACCAATTTAGTAAATATAATATTATTTGTAATATTATTAATTGTAATTTTCAGAATCTTTAAAATTAAATAAACTATTTTAGTCTTATATTATATTTATTTTAAATATATAAATAAACTTATCTTTGTTTGAATCATAAATTTCTTTAAACATGATAAAAATGTTTCTTTAATACTTTCACTCAAATAGGTATCTACAGCTGTATAAAGTCTATTATTATACTTTGTATTCTCCAATCTTTATCAATAAAATAGGTAGTTATGTTTAAAAATGCTTTCATTGAAACTGATATCCAAATATCAAGTATAAATAAAATATAACTTTCTATTTCTTGTAATATCTTTTGAATTTTTTCTTGATTATTTAAATAAAAGTCTATTATTTAGATCTTAATAGAAGTAACTATAAAATTTTTGTATCTGGTACTAATATTTGTACAAAAGCAAGAAAAGCTGGTTCTTGAATAACTGTAAAAGGTTGCTGATTGATAACAATTCATTGAACAAGTTTTTTTTTTATTTTTGTTAAGTTGTATATCCACTATATATAAATACAAAAAATTAATGATATTTTTTTTAAAATTTACAAATTAATTGAAATTACAAGTATATATTATCCTGCAATATTTACAGATAGCCTTTTTGTCCTCTTTAAAACTTGCACTCCTTGTAAAGTGTTCCTATACTTTACTTCTAAAAATTGTTGAGGGAACTGAAACCAATTTTGATAAATTGTTTGTATTAGTATTTTCAATATTGATATTTTATAGCCAATTAAACTGTTACTTTTATTATATACAAATTGTATGCTATCAAATGAGTTTTTATATTCCATTTTTAAAAGAAATAAATTAGTAAAAGCAAAGGATATGATGAAAGTAATTAAGCAGCAAAACTATAATATCACAAAAAAATGTTTAAAAAATTATCAAGAAGAGTAAGTATTAAATTTTTTTTAATTTGTCTTTTATATTATTTTTAAAAAAAAAAATCTTTTATTTTAATTTCCTAGATAGTTTGATTTTAACTTTCTAGATAGTTTGATTTAAATAAAATTAAATAATTATATAAAATTTATATGGACTGATGCATATCTAATTTGAATTATATCAAATTTAATTTCAATTTGATTTAAATCTAATAATTTTGTAAATTTAACATTCGATTTGATCTGAATCTGATCAGATTAAAAATTATGAAATTTGATTCGATCCAATTCATATTTATATCAAGAAATTTTTTTGATATAAATCTTCAGAGATTTTTGGATATAAAACTCTGGAGGCACTCCGTTATTGTTAGAAGTCTCTGGAGCGGTGATTTATATATACAATTCCAGAAAATTTCGAATATTTTAAATTGTAATAAAATAATTTCACATTATTATTAAATATTTATTTTTAAAAATTTATTTATTGAAAATT